ACTACCTGATACTTATTTATCTGTTAACCAATGATTCTAGATATAAAATAAATGGCATTGAACTGTTGATTAGGTTATTCACGGATATAAAGGAAGCTAGCATAAAATGAGAAGAGTGAATAGGAGATAAACAATTACGTAAGTTATCATACATTTATTTATTTAGTAGTAAGAAAACAATGGTTAACACAAGCATAAAAGTAAAATAGAGTAAAATAATATTTCTTTTTTCATTAATAAAATTGTAATCAACAATAAAAGCATTTGTAACGTAGGTACAATGAAACCAAAGTAACAGCGAATTCAACCAATTGCGTACCGAATATATTCGAAAAAGAAAAAAGAAAATTTCAAAAAATAAAACTTGAATTTGCTTATACAGTACTTTAATTAAAATATTCTGTTTTATTTCATGTATGTCTCTTTCGGATCGTTAAGAGAAAGCAATCTGTAAGTATTAAAAGAAATAAATATTATTATTATTTAACTCTTTTCGTCCTGTGGACACCTTTTTAGCATGCCCAATAAATAGTGCGTTCGGACAAGTCCACAATGGACTGCCGAGTAGTGAGAGATAGCGCCCGACATACCAGAACAGACAACCCCGAAAAATTCCTGTTGTTTTCCGATTCATTCGAATTGAATTCCGAGACCACCAGATCTTAACCCACAGAACGGCTCGACCATCCGGCTTTTCTAAGTATATATAATATTTTATACAGCAACATATACAGTCATTGTCCCAATACATTAAGTTGGATATATTAAGAATCGTTTACTGACATTCCGACAATTAATGTTATACAGTATTTATAAATTTACGACGACATTTGCTGAGAGAATATTTTTAATAACTAACGTTTTATATTTATAGTTTATACACATACTTCCTGCGCGTTTACAATGATAAATTATCATTATATCAATAACCGTTTATCTCGCATAAAGCATTTTTCCTAGTTTAGTTCTCACATTGATGGGCGAACAAGTTAAAAAAAAAAATTCTATTTTCAACTGCCTCAATTGTAGCATGGCATTTTGTAGTGTTGACGCCAATTTGGAGCCAATCATTCATCAATTCTTTTCTTTTTTATATATATTCCTCGAATGCTGGTATTTCTAGTTGTTGCGAATATATTTGAGTTTGCTAAAAGTTACTTTTTTGTTTTCTTAAAATAACTAGTAAATATGCTTCTCCATATCATTTCTATTGCTATTAACATGATAACTACCACGTGTTTATCGTTGTGCTTTCAATTGAATAAATCCAATCTAGCGATTGGATTTATTCAATTTTTGTCAAAATTATAAATTAATCTGCGTTTGTCCCTCAAGTATTCCCACAGTTCTGTGGGTATATTCTAAAAAGATGAGTGAAGGATTCTTCCTGCTTACAAATTGGACATTATTCATTCTGAGATATTTTCTTTTTCGTTTTTTATACATTTGTTGTAAACAATCACAGTGAAAGCTCCATTATATATTTCAAAGAAGATATTATTATTCATTCTGTTTTTTAACTTTTCAATAGCAGTCTTGATTAGTAATTTGTACAATTGTTTGGGTTTAGTTGAGAACATAATCTCGCCTCCAAGCTAATCTCTTAGCATATTATGGCATTTAATGGATTGGGGATAACTTGTAGCATTTAGGGAGTGCTTCCTAGATTATGATTAAATGTGGAATGTTTTATTTTCCGTAAGGTTAAATAGTGTTGTACTTCTTATTGATTTATACTTTGATACCCTTGTGAAATTGGCTGCTGATGTATGATTATGAATTTGATTCATTACATTCCGCAGTAATAGCTGTATGGTAAGGAGATACTAAAACGGATTAAATATTTTTGTATTATACTACTGTACATACATACCTTTTCTTTTCCATATAGGATTAGGTGTCTTTCGGCTCAACAGAATGAGACTTTTCTAGCTTTTATCTATGACATTATTTCATTGATTCTTTGAATCTTTATCCACTAAAGCTCTTAGTCCACTCTTATTATTCATTTTTGTCTCTTCCTTCTTGTGGATATAGTGAGTATAATTAAAAAGGTTTAAAGTTGAAACCTTTTTAATTATACTATCATGGATTAGGCAAAGTCACAATGAGAGCCGGGCGGTGAGGATTCGGGGTCCGACATATAACTGACAGATAATCTCGAAAAAACTATGGTTGCTCGTCCGGATTCAATTCCGGGTTGCCAAAATGGTAGAACACACCTTAGTCTCCTCTGCCAGTCGACGGAGGAACTTATTTTGCTTGTTTTATTTTTCTTGTTAGTTTTGTGTGTTTTGTGTTAACAGCATACACCTGAAAAAGGCCAATAGCCAGATTTTATTTTTTATAAAATAGACAAATAAATAAAAGTATACATTAACCTGTATTTATTATTATTGTTGTTATTATTTTGATATTTTTGAATAACGCTAATAATAGGTCAATAGACTACGTCTGATCCTCTCAATACCATCACGTAAACAGAAAAATAATATGTATATCCATTTTTAATAAATAAAAACAACAACAAAAAGATTTCGCGTTCTTAAAAAAATTATTAGAGAGGTTGCGGCCGACGTTTCCATCGGGAAAACGTGTACGTCGGACGTTCAGCGCCGCATTCTTGTAAGCCTAGAAGTTTAACAATGACGTTTGGAACGTCAGTGGAAAAATGCTCGACGTTCCAAACGCGTCAAACCTCTAGGCTTACAGGAATGCGGCGCTGAACGTCCGACATACACGTTTTCCCGAAGGAAACGTCGGCCGCAACATCTCTATTCTTACAGAAATCTTCCTTGTGTAAGTACATAAAAATTTAAATTTCGCTTAACACTTGAGTACTTTTATAAATTAATTCGGAAATGTTAGTTATTCAATTTAAAATGTTCTGTAGATTTGATTTAATTTGTTTATTTTTCCTCATTACACGAAAAGCAATCGCTTGACTTAATTCAGCGATCATACGTGACGATCGCATTAATTTCCAGAAACTGTTTTTGAAGTTCGCTTCTATCGAATGCATTTAATTAATTTCTCTTTGTCTTCTGAATTCGAATAAAATTTAGACTTGGCATTTAATCTTATCAAACATATGCTCCTATTCTAATTATTGTCGTCTGAGCCGATTTGTAATTGTTTTAATTTTTCCATTCCATTTTGACGACTTCGTTCTGAAGACTTTCGAATGGCATAGTCTGAATAAAATAAAATAAATTTCGTTTCCCTTATTTAAACTATGTCATTCAAAGGCCATTCATAAGAGATAAACGATCGTGTTTCCATGTGAGCCGTCGGATATTTACTCTTCTGTTGTTTCAACTTTTCATCCTTTTCTGTCCGTGTACACTAAGAGCCCTTTCTAATATCATACCCATATTGCGTTCGGCTACACACGCAATTTGGACGACTGGGTGATGAGGGACAATGTCCGATATATCCGAAAGAACCGTCCATGGAAAATTTCTGGAGTTTTTAGACTGCTCGGATTCTATCACCCAGGCCATTATGCTGACGTTTTAACCCTCTCGGCCACCTAGTCATCGTTGGATATTTACTACTAAAATTTTGGAACCGGCGACTACAGTTCAGCCGTTTCATCATTCTTTCCAAAAATCAAAACATTTTACTGGTGTTATTACTGAAAAAAGTTATGTATGTAAAAGTCATCTGTATACGCGCAGATAATTTTTCTTCGTTATTACAATTGATATAACTCTATACAATTCGATATAACTCTTCTGGATAACAATCTTCTTAAAGGATAAACGAATACAGTAGACTACTCATGAATACATATTATATAGAGAATATTTTAGTATGTGTGAATTTGATTTTGCATTGCAAATGACATTGAAATTGCAAATGACTTATTTTATGATAACAAACCTTCAGAATCACTCTTGTGTATAGACTTCATTACTAAATATAATTCTTATTGTTCATTTACTTCGGTTTAGCGCCACACTCCACTTCGTGCCAATTTCAGAGAAGAATAAACAAGTGCGCTAAACCAAAGCTTTACTTAGCTGAAAGTGAAGAAACTCTGATGTTACTAAGCGCAAATCGACTCCTAATTCGAGGAATCCCTTCTATGCACTATTCTGACCTTGCGTTCAGTCGGAAAAATGCGCTGTGTCAAGTGTCGATAGCGTTAGTTTAATATTCCTCATGTACTTAGAGGATGTATTTAACTAAATGTAAGATAATAACAGTCTCAACAAAAACCATTAAATAAGAAGAAAACTTAAAAATGAAAGTAAAGATCGAAATACAGGAGATAGTCCGTTGCCAGAATTGGAGAAATGATTAACGGAGAACTCGTAAGTGCAGAACAAGCAGATATTGTAAAAAACAAAGAATATGTTATTTATTGCGATGTGAAGAAGATAACAAAACTGACGCAATGGATAAAAATAAGGAACAATGCGGAGGTTGCGACGCTCAAAAACTTCATTACGAAAGGATAGACTTTTAAACTCGTGAGTCGGCTTAGCCAAGAATCTTTGGATGCGCATTTTAATTTGGAGCGAAGTTTCATAGAAATTCATATTATTTAATTCATAAAGAAGTATTATATAGGGAAACAAGTGCTGTTAATTATAAGAATTCACTCGTTTTTTCTCGAGAAACAAAGGCTACAGCGAATCGATCACGGCAAAATAGTGTCTGAGAAATGATGAAGGCGGAGAAAAGTTTTAGAGAGTTTTAAATAATCTTGAGTGCTTTTTAAGACATGAAATTCGTGATGGAAAACTCTCAACAAGATAAATATCAATACGAAATCAATATTAAAACATTATTTTACGTATAACTTTGTACGCAAACTTTCTGTTAAATAAAAGAGACAACTTAACTAGTAAATGTTATAGTGGAGGATTAGTAATCGGATTTTATATTACAATAATCAATTTATAATTAATTTATTAAATTCGGAATAATAATAACAACAACAATACTTTTTTCTGTTTTTAATTCAAACTGTCGAGACATAAAATTTTAATAGGAAGTTTTATAATTGAAGATTTTACCTTTAGCTTGTAATTATTTGTATCGGTACAAGTTGAGTCACCGACCACGAGATGGCGTCCTCCAACGAAGATTTCGATTATACAAGGACTCTAGAAAAAGTGAACGGAAAGATCCTTACCTTTGAAATATTAAACGTTAGCAAATATTTTATTCCTTATTAATTTATGATTAAAAAAAGTAAAATAATCGGAGGCGACGATTGACAAAGATATCATTTATTAAAACTGTACAGATAAGTTTCGGTTTATTCCAGTAGACGGCGTAATGTCGTCGTTTTGTATTTCCGTTTCGGAAGTAGAATGTCGAAGATCGAGAAAGTTAACGAACTGCGGAGAAAGATTGGAGATTTGGCGTCGTTTTTAAACGAAACTTCTCCCCTTTCTAACGCTCACACGGTCGATTTTATAACAAAGGAAAGATGGAAATTACTCGATCCCGATCTTGGAAAAGATCTTCTCGACTTACCGAGGGATCAATTGAACGCGATTTTAGGCAACGATTTCGTCACGTCAGATAGACGGAAGTACGTATTTCTCTCTTTTACTCTCTTAATACAAAACGGTAAACATGATTTCCGTTTTCTTCCAGAAAATATCCACATTTATGTCAGTTCCTAATCCGAACGAGAAACTTCTGTTCCGAACGATTGGGAATCTGCACTGATATAAACCGGATCTTGCCGAAATTTGGCACGTGGCAGGATTCTTTCGAAAGTAACGCAAAAAATGCCAACTGGTGTGTACCCGAGAAGAAGAGGCATGAAGTGCGAAACATGGCCGCTCTCATATCCGCTCTGAATGACATATTTCCGGTCGATCTGGTAGGGAATAAAGTACGTCGCCAATTAATATTAATTATGTAAAATTAATATATGGTTTAATTGGTTAGGTAGTGGACGCTGGAAGTGGCAAGGGATATCTATCCTCCTATGTGGCCCGTTTTCTGGGTCTGGACGCTTTGGGTATCGAAGCGTGCGAAAAGAAGTGTTGTAGCGCCCTCCTTCGTCATGCGAAGATGCTAGAACGGACGGAAGAGACCCAGTCGAATAAAAAGTGGAAGGAGTTCGTGTCAACAACCGAAAATATTGACCGGACCAGCGATCTGGAAAAGATCATCCAACGGACAATAATTAATAAAGACTGTTGTAAAATCTCCGAGGAGACTGGAGAAGGTAAAGATGTGACATTTACTTTGGCTCTGTCCGAGAGACTGGAAGAGGAGAAAAGAAAAAGTGTTTTGCTATGTGGACTTCATACTTGCGGGAATCTATCCGGCGCGTCGATTCGTCAGTTCGTTACCTGTGGGTCGGTTAAAATTCTGTGTCAAGTAGGTTGCTGTTACAATTTGCTCACAGAAGAGTTCTGCCAGGAGGAAAGAGCGGGTATGTTGTTGCCTAAGATGCGAGAGATAACTATTATCTTCTCTAATGTGGCTGTCTTATTTAGAAGGAATAAATTCAGAAACGGGATTTCCCTTATCTTCCTTTCTTAGAGAAGCGAAATTTTCTTTGGGAAGAAATGCTCGGCTCTTAGCCTCTCAATGCCGAGAACGAACCCTTAAAAATATGGTAATTATTTTTTTAAATGTAAATTGTTTATTTCTGTTCTTTGCCTTACTCCGAAAAAGCTGCTTCGACAGATTATTTTATTTCTGGAAGCCGTCTCAGTATGCTAATTGGTGGTCTCTTCGGGGAGAAAAATTGTTCTTTAAACTGTAGTTTTCGAAACATAGCATTTACTTCGGAGTTTTGACAGACTAAGACATTTTTTAAATGAAAATATTTGTTATAAAAAGTAAATAATAATGATACTTTTCAATTTAGGATTTTCATCAACCTCTCTTCTATCGTGCTCTCCTACAAGTGGCACTAACCGACTATTTAGGTACAACTTGTCAGAATGTGGAAATTCGAGTAGGAAGAATGGCCAAAAGCTGTCCGTCTTTTAAAGTCTATGTTTACAAAGCCTTAGGAAAACTAAACCTCCGAGAAATAAATGTAAGAATTTTATTTTTATATAATGACACTTTATTTACTTTCCATGTAATTACAGTAGTATAGGCTATACATAAAAAGTTTTAAAAGTAATATTAATTGATTCTTTTATATTCTCAACTTTTAAATGAAATTTACCTTTTATATTTTATATTCAAAATATTATTTTTTTGATTTAAAAGTGATTACCAGTTTCGAATAATATATAATATATATTTTTAATCATTTGAGTACATTTTAACAATGACATACACAAGGGACTGTGAGATTATATTATTGAAATTTACAAATAAATGCTTCTGGTATTAACTGAAATACAAAAATGTTTTATTAGTTTTATACTCCCTGTGACTTTTCATTCATTGTTTTATGCTTAAATGTATTCGAATTATTTTATATTTTTACAACAAATTTAAAAAGCCTTTTTTTTAATTAACTGAAAATTACGAAGCTTTAACATTTATTTTGAAAATACAACAGAAGCTACGAGTTGTTATAAAATTTTACAATTCAAAGACAATTTAAATTTTTGTGTTAATGCAGGCCTGGCCAACCCAAATTATTCAGTAGGTCGCTTTGAAGTTTAGTGGAGAAGAGGAGGGAGGAAAAGAAATTTTGTCATGATTTATTCTATATATATATAAAATATAATAAAACGAGTAACTAAATATAATTAATAAATAAATTATAATGCACATTACCATACATTCACAAATATTAAAAATTTTTCCCCAAAATACTATTCTAAACGCAATTACGATATCACTATGTATTATTATTTGGTATAAAATTATATGAGACTATTATATGAAATACTAGCTGTTACCCGCGACTTCGCCCGCGAGGATTTTGCAAGCAAACCCCATTTATATTCAGTATTTCAACAACCATAGTAATTGTTATACGTAGTATAACACCTACCGCTGAGAATGATCAGAATTGCCGAGAATCAATCGAACTACTGTATTTTCAATTTGATCAATTTTCTGGAACGTTTACAATAGTTCTATAATCGAACTAATACGCAATAACAAATTCGAATTTAAAACGGTTCGAACATTTTTAAAATCGAAATAGATAAAAATATTTATAACAATGTCTGAAATGTTATTACTTTAATACACCTAAGTACTCGATGAAGACTAAATCCTCTCCCTCTCCCCCGAGGGGAATTTCGAAAAATCCCTTCTAGTGTGCATTCCCATACCCTACTACAGTTTCTCAACGGGGGCGATATCGCCCCAATGTGGGCGATTTTCCACGAGAGGACGATTTGTAACAATTTATATTTTGGGGGCGAAATAGTAAAACATTATATTAAGAATAATTAGATATTTTATTCGTTATATCGAACAATAATTAAACAAATTACATTACAGTATACTAGTCATTAGTCTATTCCAGTGTTTCTTAACCTCTAACGAATCGTCGCCCCCTTCAACGTAGTATCGCCCCTTCAATAAAACCGTTACCTATTATCGCCCCCTTCACTTCAAAATTCCGATGCCGAGGACCAAGACTAACGCCAAATTCGTACTGCATTGAATAGAGTAGTGGCTCGTATAATGTTATTTGTTTAATTATTGAACGATATAACGAATAAAATGTCTAATTATTCTTAATATAATGTTTTACTATATCGCCCAGAAAATTGTTTTTCGCCCCCAAAATATAAATTGTTACTAATCGCCCCCTCAACATGGAAAAACGCCCACATGGGGGCGATATCGCCCCCGTTGAGAAACACTGGTCTATTCAATGCAGTACGAATTTGGCGTTAGCCTTGGCCCTAAGCACGGAATTTTGAAGTGAAGGGGGCGACGATTCGTTAGAGGTTGAGAAACACTGCAGTAAAGTTCAAAACACCACACATACGCCGATTAAAATTCAAAACTATATATATATTGAAAATAAACGTATGTACAGTTACAAAGGTCCACAAAACAAACATTTACAAAACGTTAATCGTAACAAAGTTCAACACATTTATCCACTACAACAGGTCAGTCGAAAAGACACCTTGCAACGAACTAACTCTAAGGTCCTTTATAGTCCAACGAGACGAGACAAGTTTCGGGAACAGCTTAGGCGAACTAAGACCAAACGTGAGTTCACTTTCTGAGTCCATGGCGAACTGAACTTCCCGCAACAACTCAATCCTTTTATAGGATTGAAGCAGAATTGGATTCCACAAATCGGCACTTAGCAGCTCTACCAGACGTCCGCCGATGGTGTGATGTCTCTCAACCAATGAGCGGTCGAGTCTTCAAAAATGGTCTGATCGTCGTTTCTATGGCGACAACCGTCGTCTGTCGAACGATTGGAAAAGCGCGGGAAAACCGTGTGCCAGACGATTTTTATCCCGACAACTGCCCTACTACAATGCAGATAAAAACAAAAAATCGCATCTAAAATAGTACAGTAGAAGCCGTTCTTCCGGTTAAGTTTTAATGCTTAACCTCTTGCCACCCACTGATTAATTAATTTAATGTAATTAAGCATAAAAAATACTTAAAACTGAAAAAAACGAAAGAAATGCGTTAATTTTGAAGAAAAAGCTTCAAAGTTTAACTTCCTTTGTCTCGCCTTTCTGTGAAATTTGACACTGATGAGTCATTGTTTACACAGCTGGATGACCTTGAGAACATCTGGTGTCGGATTTCCCGGGAGGACAAGGGTTTAAAGTAGGGTGAATACTAGCTGACGGTATATTTTTAAATATTTTTAAAAAATTAAAATTTTAATTGCGATTTCTGACCCCCCGATTTAATTAAAGCAGAAACCTTAATTCTAAACATAGGAAAATAAGATCAAGGCATAGGAAAAACATTTAGCTCAAATAACGACCAAGCCTTAATCTCGGCAATAGTAAAATCGCGCTCAGTAGATGTCCACCATCAGCTTTATCAAGTGATAGCTTAATTAATTAATTAATGTTGCCAACATGTAGAACAAGACAAAAAATAAAGTTCGTACTCTTGCCCACATTCCCTTAATAATGCCACTCATTTACTGAAATTTCAAAGCGTTTTCATTAAATTTATGACTATAGAAGAGGATTGACATTGTCGAAAGACGGGTCGATTATTTCTCAACGTAAAATTTCTATAAGTTAGAACCGGTAGAGATTTAATAAACTTTGAAATTTCTCCGAGTTAGATTTTACATTTTGTTTTATTTTTTGTTTTTGTTTTGGTAATACAATGACTCCGACGATGATATTATTTTACGACCTCCGTGATGTGTCTATGTATTCTCGACTTACGATTTGTCTACGAACTTTAAATACACGCATTCAGTAAATAAAAACTATGATTTTAATACAATAAAACTTACACTTTTAGTATAATGAAACTGTGTAAATCTGTAATCTTGACGTGTTATTCTCTCAGTTCCAAAGTTAATTAAATTAATCAATAGGAAAAATTAAACGTTTAAGCCAACTTTCGAACAAAAAAAGAGCAAATTTTGAATAATTCTGTAGTTGGTAAATACCATATATTGTATAAGATATGTAAAATAACGTGAAAAAATCTAATCTAACTGAATTGTTATAAAGGAAAATATGTATATTTTAGCTTTATCTTACTCGAATAAATATATCATCTTATCTGTTAGGTTTGAAATATATTCTTCACTTTTTTCGTACGAAGTACAGTAGTATTTTCACAGCCTCCAGATTTTTGAAAATATGAAATAAAAGTTTGAATATCTATTACTAAGTTTAGCAATCATCTTTCCATTTTTTCCCTCTTGAGTTTTCAACTTTCCAAAATTTCATAACAGTAATTTAAAACAAATTTTTTTGTAAATTTTATTATAAATTGAAGTTAATCATAATAAAATTCTTTAGTTTATTTGAAAATAAAAACTGGCTGAATTTTTTATGGAAGGCATTTTACAATGACGTTTGAAATTATTGTTCGGATCAGAAATTGGTTAATTAGAAGTATTTTAACTTTATTCGTTTTAATGAATGCGATACATACTAAATAATTGTAGATAATATTAAATATGTATATCAACTCATAAATTATATTATTTATGATATATTAAATTTAATTTTAATGTTCTTTTATCTTTATTGATACGGTTTACTCTTTTCCAGATCGATGATGATGATGTAGAAAATTATTTACGGGTTTATTCGGACGAAGAGAAGAAATTGAAAGCCTTTCAACTTTTAAGAATAATTTTGGCTTCTTGCATAGAAACGTTAATCTTATTAGACCGGTTACTTTATTTATGGGAACAGGTTTGTATTTTTTTACTTTCTGACTTTCTAATAAGTTTTTTAAAAAAGGTTTACATTTTTAAAACGATGTAATTATATAAAATTAAATCTTATACTGTTATACTGTATAAACAATATATTGATGATCATGAATTCCAATGTGCCTCATCTGTTTTTTTTGTTTTTGTTATTTTACTTTTTAACTATTTCCGCCCTTGTGGGCACTAAGAGAGTTTTTTCAGACCCACAATGGGGCATCTGAACATATCTGGGACAGATCATGAAAAAATTTCTGAGGTTGCCATTCGGATTCAATCTGGAGTCTCTCCGCTCATATTCGTATCAATAGACCGACTCCTTAATTTCCTTGATCGATTTCTTTCTTTATTAGGTTGTTACTTATACAGTATTATGATTAGTTGAAATCTATGTTAAACTAAATTTTTGGATTCTGGAAAAAAGAGTTTTTATGAATCTTTAGAATAGGGATCGGAAATTATGGTACTGTATTCACATTTCAATCTTATTTTGAAGAAGCGGGCTGCAAATATAATTTATAAAATAATATCGGGACAGGAGGATAGAATTTTTCTAATAAAAGGAAGTATGGGAGTTTTTCCTAGAGAGAAATTTTTAAAGATTTTTGAAGTACAGCATAACAATGTTTATTCTGGCGTTAAAAATACTGTAGTCAAAATAAACGTTTTCTGTTATTGTTATACGTTTGTAATTGTCTAATATTTTTATGATTGTTTGTTACTTTCCTGCCTGTTATATATAACAGAGGAAAAGCATGGCGATCGGTCAAAATATGAATCCCCAAGATTTTACATTTTTGGACTCAGGCCACCTTCAAACGTCGAGAAATCCAAAAACAATTTTGGGTTTTTTTCTGTATGTATGGATGTTTGTGTTTGTGTGGGGCACGATTTTGTTCACCCAGTTGAAGCTTAATAACTTGTGCCTTTTGTCGGGTTTGTTTATTAGGTGGATTGATGCTATAAAATTTTGATTTAATATCATGGGATTAAAGGTCGAGGTGGTGGCGAGATAAAGGGGATCATGTGTATTTCCAGTAGGGTCAGACTTAATGACGATTTTACTCGTTATTAGCATTTGCAAATTTTTTACAATTAATACCATCCCTGCCCTTAAAATGAAATGTTTTGCCTTTTTTTAATAGTTAAACATATAAAAATATTTTAATAAAATATGATAACAGATGGCGCCACAAAATGTCACGGGAAAGTTAAGCAATTCGTTTTTGGATTTTTTTTGTTGTTGTTTTTTAGTCCACCATACATATTTTTGAATTTATCAAAATGGTCACTTTCATAATAGTGACTAGCATTTTATTCTTTCATTACGGCAATATTTTTATGATATAGAAGGCAAACATACAAGGCAAATAGTGTTCCATTCCTTCTTGAAGACTTTTCCTTTGTTTTTTTTGTACGTTTTAGGTTTTGAAGAAAATAGAATCCAATACAAGCCTAAAAATGCCCAACGCATCTTGTATTTTTATGAAATTATAAATATTTTCATGAGTTGCAAGAAAAATAAAATCAAATTAAGGTTAGAGGCTGCACAACACATATGTAAGGGCTGTCAGTTGTTGAACCCTTTCTTAGAATATTAAAAATGTTAGAAAACAAACAACAGAATTTGATAGAAAATTTAAAACAGATATAACAATGTCAGAAAGTCATTTGAATATAATTTATTTTATAAAACTATTTTACTCAAACAATTAACCTTGTTTTATTACTGTTTTGAAAAGATGAATAACTTACAGAATGTATTATCATCACTTTGACTTCTGTTCATTTTAGATTAGAATTCACTTCTTCCATGTACAGTACCTTGAAAAGTATTTTTTCCCTATAAAAACATTATATTTTATAGAAATTTTGCTTAAATAAATTTTATTTTATTTAAACAAAATCTGTATGCAAAGTTTATCAAACATTTAAGTGACACTCAAAAAAAAAATCTAATAAAATATTTGAATAGTGTTTAAAATAGAATTAATATATACTATTATTTTATAAATTTAGAAAAAAAAAATAGTTTGCAGTTAAGCAGATGTAAATATAATTTGATATATGCTGAGATGAAAGAGAGATAGCTAATATTAGGATGGAGATTTTTAATTCATGTAATGAAGTAAACAGTATGTAAAAGTTTTATCAATTTATATAATTTAAGTAATTATTAAACTTCATCAACCTTAAACTGCAACAAAATTAAAAGTATCGATAAAAATATTAAAATATAAAAATTATTTTAAGAAATGATGAAGCTCTCCTTAGCAATAAAAATCTTCTAGAATCAATTGCTCTTATTGCCTCTTCTAGGTCTGTCCTTGTCTGTAATAAATTTATGTTTGTATATAATATAAATGTGACCTTATATAATATATTATTCATCTTTATAAATATTATATTGTAATAAATAAAAAACAATGAACGTGTAGAGTGTATTTAGACTATATTCAGTATTGCCTATAAATATGTCAGACTTAATTATCTGTAAAATGTCATAGAGACAATATTCATATATTTAAAGTCGATACAAATTTTATTATACCTATAAACTAACCTCTATAAAACTGAAAGTTGACTCTATTTAAAAATTTCAAATTACTGTTTGTTTGTCATTTTTGTCACGCCCCTGACTTGCTTCTACTAAAATATGATGTAGACATCTTGACAGAGATTCAAAATCGACCAATAAGATAAGAGTCAGTGCGTGTACTAAACGTTCTATACGTATTGTACAGTACTTGTATAGAATATACTGATTCTGATTGGTCGATTTTGGCCGGTTGTAAAATGAGTACAGTTTTTATCAGGTCGATTTAGTCAATTCGTTGCAATTTTTATTATGTACCGTACAAGCATTGGGTGCGAAAAATGGGCCGATTTTCGCGCTCCTTTCATCGGGATCTCCTTCGAATTGCTTTCTCGGAAAAAACTTCTAGTTTCACGAAGTTTTTGGGTAGCATTGATGAAGATGGGATGATTTGGATTGTGTTTTTCAGGAAACCCTTCTGCGTACAGCTGTGCAATTATTGTTGTGTTTTGACATTCTCCATAAATTAATACAATGTCAAACAATTCTTCATTTGTCACAATCATTGTAAGTTTGTGAATTATTCCCTAGTTAATAAATGGATAATCCAAAATTTACTGTACAGTACATGCTTTATAAGTGCATTTTGCTTACCACACATCAAATCTAGCTTATAGATAGTGGTTCCATTACACTTCTTCCACTATTATTTAATCCTCCAGTGAACAGTACATAACTAATGAAATAAGAGCTACGTTTTCGAACTTCAGTTGTGATGTCAACATTACGAAAATTTGATGCATGGAAAGAGGTGCGTCATAGCATATTACGATTGTTTTACGATTCTTTCCCTGGTGACATCCAGACAGCCAATAAACCACTCGGCTGTATTAACAGACGAGTGGTTTATTGGCATAGTTATCCAACAATTCTAATACAGAAAAATTGTGTTCCCGTTTAAAACAGTAAAGCTGACCTTCACACTTTAAAAATTACTTCACATACAAAAATTTAATTACGTGCATCAGATTGTCCCATCCTTTAATTTTTACCTGAAGTATTTTATGACGCAACAACAGTTAAAACGTTATTGGAGGTAAAAGGTTAAGTGATTCATTCTGTATACACAACAGAAAATAATTTGTTTATTAGTAACTATTTACAATTGAAACAATTTGAGTTTGAAAAATTAATCATTTTATGCATGAATAAAACATTATGTTGTTTTATTTATAGTAAAAGTATTTTCATATATTCAAGGATAGGCATATATAATGCAAAAACTGATAAAAAATTAAAATGTAGACACGATTTTAAACGATATAAAGCGGAGATTTATTTTTTATAATGCTAGTTGAAGAAAATGGTTTAAAAATGCTGTAAATTCTTGCTCTTTAATTATAATGCAAAACAACAATAATAAAATTTAATAATAAAGTGAGCTAATATAGACGGAATACGGAATAGAAAACATGTAAATTTATCTATGAATTGTTTGTTTTTAAAGGTTAGTAAAGAATAACTTTATCACAGAACACGTATTTTGTAATGAAATTGTATATAAGTAAATAATTTCAAACATTGTTTATCTAATAAAATATTGTAAATTTAAAATATGATTTTAAAATATCGTTAATAAGATATTCTCCTTTGTCTTTTTTATCCCGAGAATACAACTTGTCTTCTCTTTGAATTTTTTATTTCTTTAAAAAGTATGATTGAGAGTTTTTGTTAATAAAATACACTGGAAGCGAAAAAAAGTAATATAGGAAAATTTTCTGCATTATTTTGAATAAAATAAATTTTTTAATTAATTAAAAATTAAATTACGACATCACTAATTCTGACTTGAGTTTATTTTTAGCAAATTGCCAATATAGCAAAATTTGGATTTGAAAATCAATCGAAAACATAATATATTCGAATCAATACGCATTCAATATCGTTAATGTGAATATTAAATGCTTTATTTAAAATAGGGGAAAATATAATGCGAAATTTGTACAGTCGACCCCCCTATAACACGAGTTCCTATAGTTCGGATTCCTATATCATGGCGAAAAAATTGCGACAGTACTCGTACAAACTTGCTAAAAAAAATTCTTATAATTCGGTAAAACGTCATCGCCGACTCGTGTCGCGACAGGATTGCACAAACCGTTGAGTTTAAACGAGCAGCGGACCTACCAAAAACCATTTAATATTTAACGTCCATGAAAATTATATTTATATTAATGATGTCTCCAAAGTTCAGCGAATTTTTCGCAAAAAAAATAATTTATCGGGAAGTACGCTAGTGCCATCGATGACAATCTCCACGACGAAAACAAGCTTAAGCAACGGCGTAGTCAAACGGTGCACACTCGGTAAGTAATCCTACAATTTTTTGTTTATAGCAGAGTTTAGATGGATTATTCCCAAAAAATTATACGTATTTTGGAAATGTT